AAGACAGAGGCGTGTAGGATATCTAAGGTTTATTTGAGTTTCTCTTCATGTAATTATGTATTAGATTGAATGTATAGCCTGCCTACTAACTATAAATATATTAATCTATTTATTTTATTGTTTACTTTATATAATACTTAATATATAACAATTGACATTATTAACAAACACCTTTATATCCGCAATCAGATTGTTTATTCTTTATTTTGAAATGTTTGTTTGTATAACGAATCTCTTGGGAGCATAACCTCTACCTCTTAACCTCTGCTCTTCGAACTGTCAAATTTAAGTATTTACAGCTGACCTAAATTAATTGATATATTTACATTCTTTCAAAATGTAAACATGGAAAATTTGGAAGCCCCCTGGGCATAGTCCAAGGGAAATATGAAAATTAAATGATATAATATTGCGTTGTCTTCAATTTGTGAGCTATGTTTCAATTCAAATCTCTAGCTCTTCGGGAAAATAGTATAAAATTGATCACAAATTTTGTACCGGGCAAGAAAGCGAGCTAATAAAAACGTTTAAAAATCCCAAACAATGATAACCTCACTTCAATTTTATTCATATAATTTACGGAAACTGCACAACTAAACTAGTCGAATCATCTGCCTTGGTAAATTAATAAAATAGGTATGTGATATGCCAATGCGAGCCCGAGGTTTGAAATGCATTTAGTTATAATGGCACGAGGACGGTGCCTCAAGTGGTACTCATGAATAGTGTTTTACAGCCATCAAGCACTCCTTTATATCAAGTACAGCTAAACTACTGCACGTGTTTAAATAACCCATATTTACTGATAAATAATGTTAACGTACACAAGGGCTTGAAGGTCATACAAATCTTTTTATTATCATAAATGTTTCTTATTATTCAATATAGTGCTATATTATGTGTGTTTTGTAAATATTTTCATCTCCATCAGTTACTCACAAGAGAAGGAATACCTTCAAATTTACTTTGAAAGAGTTTTGAATTCTTTCTATACAAACGAATGTTTGAATAATATATGCAATGTTTAATGTAGAAACTCAATGTTTGTTATATATTTATTAACAGACTTAAACTGATGCTCTCATTTCATTTGCAACAAACATAATAGTTTATCAATATCTTTCAAATTGTTTACATGGTCGATAAACATTGACTTTTTCCTCGATGTAAATTGGTAAAAGTTGACAATTTCAAATATATATATTTATAGTTGCATATTCAACTTGGACTTTATTTGAACCATATTGCATATTGAAACCCCCATTTTGAGTACAGTATTCCATATAGAACTCATAATAATTGATCATAATCCATATAACTGATCATGATATTTTATTATATCAAGTGCTGTAAATGAGCTGTATTTGAACAGGGCATTTATTTTTTTATAAGATTGACTCAGATAATTTCGAATTTAAAAATCCAGGCTACCTGGATGTAAACGAAACAATATTTGTGTTTTGTCGTTTTGCATAAGTAAAGCAGAGGTTGGCAATATGAGATATGATCTTTGACATGCAACTGTTATACATTTTCTGACGATTCAAAAAACCGCAAGAATGTCTTGTTGACACAGACAGTTAATTGATAAACAATTTTATCTAAGGAATATTCTCAAAATATGTAATGCTAAATAAAATATTTCATTTTTGATGTTAGCCTACAGATTACGTTTCAATACAAATCAGGTATTTACACCAATCTATAATATTAAATGGAAACAGGGTTTTTTTATTTCACGATTCTGAATCAACCAATTGACAGATTTTCATGATTTTTGTGTTGAAAGAAAGATAATTTTGAGAACTAGGGAATGAAGAAGCCATCATTTTAATTTAGGGTTTCAGTTTTTTAGAAAATAAGTTTCAATTTTTAAAAAGTCTAGCAGCCGACGCTAGCAATTCAAAGTATTTTCAGTGCTGGTTAAACTAACAGCTGGTTATAAACTGTCATTGAAATGTTTATGTTACAAGTTGTTTGTATACAAAAATATTGTTCTTCAGTGTTGGCCTGCATACTATTTCACTTTAAAATTTAGTTTTTTTCTACCGTGAAGGATCTGCTTTATCAGGAAATGTGTTATTTTGATCTATACATCTCAAACAGTTTAATCAAGTTTGTAAATGAAAACTGTGTAAGGAAGTTATTTAGTTTATGCCATGGAAATTTCATTTCATATTAGGGAAATCTTTTTTCAGAAATTTATTGCTTAATCGTTTAAGATATAAGTGGTTTACGGTACGTGTTGATACTTCTTTTTCTGTATGTCCGAATGGATGTGAGTCATACTATAATTTTGGTTAGTAATGAAAGCGTCAATTGGTATAGTAGGTTCTATAAAACTGGCCAATGAGCTGCTAGGTGCTGCAGAAACCAAAGTCGACTCATACCATACCACAACTCTCCCCGTAGTATTGAAAAGTGCAGACAAAATATTCAGACCAGTTCAAGATAACGGAGGTCGAGATAAAAACAAACAGAGAGCTAAGAGAAATGTGTAACACCCAGATATAGGGGTACTTTCCAGAAGTAAAAGGCTTGGATGGGCAGGCTATGCGTGGTGGATAGGAGATAAATCAACTTTTTAAAGTATATTCCATAGTACCACAATATAAAAGACCACTTGGAAGACCAAGAATTAAGTGGAAAGACCAAGTTATGAAATACATCCTCAGACCGGGATCTAAATTAGAAACGACAGGGGATGGAAGAGAATAAGTTATGAAATACATCCTCAGACCGGGATCTAAATTAGAAGAGACATGGGATGGAAGAGAATGGGTGGCCAGAATCCTCATAAGGTGTCAGTATGTGGTCACGGAGGTAAAGGTGCGGTAAGTACATATATAAGTGGTATATGCAATTTTAGCAACTCTACTCAATACCAGTGTGTGTGAATCGGTCTCCAATCTCACTTCAAGTCTTTTCAAATCGACGCAACTGCTATTTTATAGTAAAATTATCGAATTTAAAATGCATCGCTATATTTTAGGTCTATAATCGGATGGAAGAAATAGGTAGTCACGTGACATTTGTTAATAAGGTCAACAACTAAAAAATAACAATTGTTTGTTAATTAGGTTGTTTTGGGGGCAGTTGGCCCCCATTAAAACTGCCAGAATTTGTCATTGTGCGTGTAAACTAGATGTTCTGAACTATTCCGTTTTAATCGACTACTCGATTCCCGTACGTAGGACGGGCCAACAACTCGTTTATTAATAAAATACATTATAACCGTGTCATTCAATCATATAAATTCTGTTTTAGCTATTCAGTAAAGCCATTATGAGTAGTATTAAAAACTGAAGGGTGTATAATACATAGTGTGATATTCATTGTGACACATATTAAACATTCATCGATAAACTTTCATGTCACACGAACAAACAAAAGACTATGGCTATTGCAATTCTATTATCAACGAGTGTAATGTCAATGTAAGATTTTTATTACATAGCATTAAGATAATACTGTATTTCATCCTCCAGAATGTATTAAGGATTGTACTGGTATCACAATACGAAAATATGAGATACCTTTTCTCATTCAGTTCATTTCTGTTTAATACTATTTGTCAACCGGTCTTTGTATATCATCTTATTCTTTTTTGTTATATTGAATGCATTAAAATGGTATGTAAAATTGAAAACTAAATTGAAGTGTTTTTTTATAAAATGTTCTCATTAGTTTTAGTGGCTAATAAAGCTACTTGCTAAATACTCACTTAATAATTTATTTGAATGGTTCTCGATTTCAACATTTGTAGGATATTTCTTGAGTTAAGAAATGGTTAATCAGTGAAGTATTTGATATGTATAATCTTCCACTGTTTTTCGTAATATACACTTAAACTGTTTTTGATAAATATAAGATTACAATTTTACTCCAAATGTCCCTAGATAAACATTTATTGACATTCTTAGAATGTTTTGAATGTAACAACAGTGAAGCAAATCAGTGTATTTACGTCACGGAAAGGTTCAAATATGGGCCGAGACACAGAAATAGCCACTGATCGACCTTCGTAGGCCACTGTGGCTATATCAGACTCATAGGACGGATTGTAGATAATCCGCACATTGATCTTCCCATCCTTTATATTGGTTTGTATTATACAAATATTTAACGCCCGTTATTTTGTCCAAATATTGTATTCAAAAACTATTTCTAGTAAAAATAGGGTTTACTACAAATTATTAAAAACTACCTAGTATGGTAAGTAGTTAATTTTACCTTTTGGATCTTTGAAACATAAAAGTACTCTCAGGAAAATGTTATTCGGCATTCTTAAAATTGATCTTCCACTACCATGAGGTATACGACTCAGCTATAATAATAATAGAGCGTAAACAAAGGTGTAAATAAACTTTTAAAGCTACAAATTGTATAATATATACATATATATATGGATATTCTTCTATCATTCTTGGTCACTAAACACAAAGTGCGTTGAATAGAGTCAAATAAACAAATATTTAAAAAGAATGCTAAAAGTATGGCACAAGGTTTAATTTCAACAAAAAAATTATTTCTCAATAAATGTGAACAAAAACGAGACAACATTCGATAAATTACAATAGCAGTAGCATTAAATACAATATCCTGGCTATAGTAAATATAAAACAAACAAATATATTTAGAAATTTGGGGAAAATTCAATAAGTTTTGTTATGGAATAGAAATTATATTTACATTATTTTACGATATTTTAGAATATTCTTTTCTAAAAAAAATTAATAGAAATTGAATATACGTATACTTACAAGTAAATAAAAGATCCTTATATTAAATAACAGGTGTTATTCAGTTGATATCATTATAAATTCACTTATTGCAATTGATTAATTTAAATTGGATGGCTTTTCTTTTCACAAACGGTATCAAAATATGAGTTGTGATATAAAATTACCAAACATTTACTTTGAAGGATTAACTCAAGGATAACTAAATTAAAATCGCCTAGGAAACTATAGCTTTTTCAAAACATTGTTTGTATCGAAATCCAAGTTACTTTTAAATAAATCTGAATACTGTATTTTGTTTCAAAATGTCTGTGATACGAGTGTTATCGTGTTTCTTGAAACCCCAAAGGTTAGGAAAGTTCAAGAGTATAAACAGTACTGTCCCAAACTTGAAACTCCACAATGAAAGCTCAAACCCAATACCGAACAGATTGAATGAATACATGAAACTAAAACAACCGCAGGAACGGTGTACCGCAGTATACACTTGGATAGATGGCTCTGGTGTTAACATGAGGGACAAAACAAAGGTGTTGGACTTTGTGCCAGAAGTGATCTGTCAACTACCCGTGTGGTCGTATGACGGTAGTTCTACAGATCAGGCTACCGGGGACAACTCCGACGTATACCTGGTACCTGTAGCGATGTACCCAGACCCCTTCCGTGGAGGTGAAAACAAAATTGTTCTGTGCGAAACTTATGACTCTGACAAGAAGCCGACACCGACAAATCTCAGGAGATGTTGTTTTGAATCATTGGAGAAAGCAGCTGCTGAGAAACCATGGTTTGGGTTAGAGCAGGAGTATACGATGATGAACACTCACCCGCATCCTTGGCCATACATGTGGCCAGTGGGCTACCCTGGCCCTCAAGGTAATCATATGAAAACCGTTACGATTAGTGTGCAAAGACATTTAGTGTTTGCTTAAGTATTAGGGGTTTTACAATTTTTCTAAACCTAGCAAATTCCCCTGTAGGGAAGAAAGTAGCTGTAAAAATGGCTTTTGAATATTTTGACCTGAGATAGTGGTAAAATGGTTATCAACATGCACAAGGTTCATGACAACGGTTCAGAGACGAAAACTTGGAATGATCTGCAAAACAAAACAACATTTATAAGAAATATTTTTTTATATTTCCTTACTTTGCTCAAGGGTTCTACGAGTTGAAAAATATGAACTTGTCTAACTAGGTTATACGTCTTGGATCTTAAAGTGAGATATCTAAATGTTACCTATATATAAAGCCAAAAGTACCCATTAACTTTTGAGAAAACTACAAGTCACACCCCACTAAACCATATACTTAAAATGTTCGTCATGACGAGAAACCTTGAGCAAAATTATCCATTATTTCATAAAAAATTGCCCTATAAGGTCGTAATTGCTTTCCAAAGGGAACTTTCCATTTACCTAATGTTAAAAATACCTCAGCTGTTATTATTTGTTTGTATTCTGTTTTGTTTATTTCATCTTAACTTAACCAATCAATAGTTTTAATTATAATAATGTAGTAAAACGGGGTGGAGCCCGTGGGTAACAGCCATCGATCTCTATTTTTGGTTATACTTAACAAAATATTTGCTACCATATGGAAAGAGGCAATATGATAGCAATAATCTTGTTAGGGATCTTTAGGAGTATGTGATTTTTCAATTCACTAAACTAATGATTAGCAACTGTAGTTCTCTTGCATGAAAATAAGTCATTCTCCTCTTTATTACTACATTGTAGAATATTTTCTCCTAATAAAAAAATAATTTTTACCTCTCTTAGGCTTAAATTCTTTGAAGTATAAAGTTAGGTAACTGCATATTTCTGATTTTAAATGTGAAGGTCCCTATTACTGCGGAGTAGGAACAGGCAAAGCTTACGGCCGCAGTATAGTCGAAGCACATCTCCGAGCGTGCTTATACTGTGGCATAAATGTCTCCGGCACCAACGCGGAGGTGATGCCTTCGCAATGGGAGTTCCAGGTAGGCCCGTCAGAGGGAATAGCAGCCGCTGATGACTTGTGGGTCGCCAGGTACCTGCTGCACCGGATAGCTGAGGAAGCCGGAGTGGCAATCAGCTTAGATCCGAAGCCCATCGAGGGCGATTGGAACGGAACCGGAGGCCATGTCAACTTCTCAACAGAAAAGATGAGACAAGAAAATGGTCTCGCAGAGATTGAAAAAGCAATTAAAAAGCTCGAGGCAAACCATGCAAAACACATCAAAGTGTACGATCCCAGAGGTGGAAAAGACAACGAGAGAAGGTTGACAGGACATCACGAGACTTCATCGATAGACAAGTTCACCTGGGCGGTCGCCAGCCGCAAGGTCAGCGTCAGAGTCACAAGGGAGGTCCACGAAGCTAAGAAAGGATACCTGGAGGACCGTCGACCTTCCGCAAACGCTGACCCCTACGCCGTGTGCAACGCTTTAGTTTGCACAATATTGTTGGAGTAGTTTTTGTTTTTTGTGTAAATTGGTTTGCCTTTAAGTTATTAAGATAATAAACGATTTAGAAATGTATTGTAACCGTTATAATATTCTACTGTAAAGGTCACTTTACTGGCAATCATCATAATGTACACAACAATGTGTTGATACAACAAGATAAAAAAATCACTGTTACATATAACCTTTGACTATTATATAACATAATGGCTGTAACATATAATATTGACACCAATAATTATAAATCTCTGGTCAGAAAACCATGCTAGAAACAAGGTAGTAGAAATTTCATTAAAAACAGATTTATTTCATATTTAAATAACATTAGTTTAACAGTAGACAGATTGGGAAGGTAAAAGATAGTCTTTTTTGTTAAATGTTAATAGTTCAGTTTGAAATAAACCAAATTTCCTAGGTTGATCAAGCAATGTTCATAAGCAAGCAAACTACAATAGTTTCCTCGTATTTCGATAGGAATAACACAAACATTTTAAAATTGATCTATTTTAAAATTTTCTCCTTAACTATAAGATCATAAAAACGTTTTAACACAATAATAATAACGTTTAAATAAGAACTTAATCTCTAAAGAAAATGAATGCAAGAATATAATCCTATACTTAGTTAAGGTAGGAGTGAATAATAGAATACATAATAATTACCTATATATATATATATTACCCATCTCGTGATATAAGTATGAATTGAGGTGCGAGGGATGGCACAGTAATCATTAGAGCTGCCTCACTGTATATATTGGGTCGAGGAGCTCAATATCTCTAATGAGAAGCCGCCTCTATACACTTGATATACACTATATACTAATCATCTTCCTCTTTGAAACTAAACGGCTTATTAAAGCACATTATAATACTGTTACTATATTAAGGTTAGTCATTTGTCTAACTACAAATTAGCTTTGCGAATGAAAAAATAGTTTGGAATTTTTTCATTAATGTAGGTTCTAGATACTGCATTATCACTTCGAAAAGATATATTGGTGATTGGCGGTATGTAAATTTGAGGCCTCAAAGACCGAAGTTCCGCTATCTACCAATAAAACAGCTTGCTCCAGTTTACAATATTAACTAGTATAGAATAGAATATTTGTTAATTTTATCTTTTCGAATCGGATAAATATTAAATAGTAACAATACTAACGGTACGTAATAATTCTCAATAATATTACATAGTAAGAATAACAATTAGTTGCTAATGCAAATATACACAATTTATTTATTTTAATATTTTATATACAATACAGTGACGTCGTCGTTGAAGTAACTAGCCATAAACACTCGACCAAACGAAAACGTATTATTTTGTACGTTATACAGTAATTAAATTAAAATCTTTCAAATTATACTGTTGTTGATTATACTGAAACTGAGATTCAAACTCTTTTGATAAAAAAAGTATAAATCATTTAATTTAAAGATTAGTGTAGTTAGCTATGCATTCAACCATTCTGTGTTTATGTATGAGATTAATTTCTGAAATTGTCCCAGCAAATGGTTTTAAGCTATATAATTGGATCGTACAAGTTAAAATAGCTTTAACACATATTTACAGGTTATGTGTAAGGGACTTAGGTTTCAAATTATTTGTTTAATAGTTGTAAAAATGTTTAAGATTAATTTTATTTTAAATATAATTGTCTAACTTTATTATTTAGAATTTATCGACAAGTAAATATATAGAATAAGGTCTGATTATGAAATAAAAAGTATATAAAATAGGTTTGAACTAAGGGTAAAGGTTGGATGATTGATTATATAAAACCTACTCTAGATAACACGGGTATAATAAAATCACTGATGTACAGTAACATGAAGATAAATCAGTTGCTATTTCTGTTACTCGACCCTTTTGTCTGTTACTTGACCTTTTTGTGTGTTTTTTTTTCTATAACATAAATACACCGATGTGTTTCCTCGTTCTCTTATACTACGATCTCTGTGAGTTTTAGGTTACACTTACTCAATATATAAGTAGGGAAATTGTATGTAAATATTCATTTATCAGCTTTGATAACTTTGATAACTATTCAACGGTTGAATGACGAACAAACATCTTACCACAGTGCTTGCAAGCCTTTCTCAATCTAGCTAAAACGTAGTTAAGATAGTTTATAGAAGAATTTAAGAGAATAATGAGGTAATAGAAATACCCTGCTTTACATATAGTTATATAGTAACTATCATTATGCAATTAGATATATCGCTTAGTGAATAACACGATCTCTACTTTTTAGACGGTTGCGTCAAATAATAAATTCACAATCGTCCAAAGCGCTGGGAAAGTATTATTCAATTCGTAATATCAATTACCTCTAGTTACATGCCGTTTTAAGATACTTCAACATAATCCATCAATTTGAAAAAAAATAATGCTTAGGTCACCTGTTTTGTTTTCAGCCGACGTCAACCCCTACGTCCAGTTAAAGTTTCAGCCAGGTAACTAAGTACTGTACGCACAGTAGGAGTTAAACCTCTCTCAACAAAATTAAATCTGGCTATACGGTTGATGAGAAAATCTAGTGATTCTGACGCCATTCGCAAAAGTTTTCACAATTTTTCCTAAGTAAATTATTAGTATAGTAGGTAAAATTTTAAATAAGAGAAAAAAACAAGTGTGTTAGCTATTTATATATTACTAGGGGCCCATAGCAGCAATTGCTGTCCTTCACCTCCGTTGCAATTTGACCTTAACCAGTCCCCATGCTGTGCACCATCCCTAAATACTCTCCTTCGTAGTCGCGGTCTTTCCTAAGATAAATTTTAACACTGCATTACCATTAAAAAACAAATACCCCCGCCGCAGCAAACCTGCCGACTAAGCGAATTTCCATTTGTCTGAATTGATTTTCAGTTAAATATATTTTAATAACATTAGGTTTAACGAGTACCTAGGTTTGCTGCTACAAGGAAACTAATAAAGTGTGTCTTTGAGTAAAATATTGATAGCTTAGTACAAAATAAATAAATTTGCCAAGTTTGATCAAAATATATTCATAAACAAGCAAACTACAACATTTGACAATATTCTCCATAAGAATAACACGGGAATTTTAAATTTACAATTTTTTTAATTTTCTCCGTTACTTATAATCGAACAAAAATACTTTTATATACTAAATTATTTGTTTTTTAAGCTCTTTAAAAAGGTCTAAAGAGAAATTGGGAAATTTTGTGTTTTGAGGGTCAAAAGTGAGAAAAACCAATTTTTACCCCATAAAACCCCCCGTAAAGCCCCGTTCTCATGGTCCGATCGTGCTGGTTCGCGAACTCATTCAAGTTTATCCTGCTTTACACCTTTAAACCAAATTTCATCAAAATCGGACAAAAATTATCGCGTTCACGGACGTATATATATATATATATATATATATATATATATATAAGTCTATATATATATATAATATATATATATATATACATATATAAAAATTTGAACGAATAGTGTTTTTGGCCTCTGGGGACATCAAAATTAAAAAGTAAATCGGTCCCGGGTCTAGGTCTTACCGTGCCACCTACGGTAATAGCTACTTCCCTATAGGGAAATTCGCTAAAACGATGGTTTTATTTAAGATTTAAAAACAGAACTCTGAAATCAATAAAAAACAAACACGCAATATTTTCATCAGCTGGTATATTTAAAGCAACTTATAAAGGGTGGAGCGCGGGAAATTGCTATTTTGAGTTGCAGGTGGTTGGCAGCACTGTTAGTCAAAAAGAGGCGGAAGTGGGCGATGATTGTTGTGACTGACCGGAAGTTTGTCTTCAGCTCATTTTGAGTTGCCATCATGGAGTGGACACGTGAGGAGCGTTCATTTTGTGTTGAAGCATATTTTTCAAATAACTACTCGATAATTGCAGTGCAACGTGCTTTTCGTTTGCGTTTCGCTGTTTCCCCACGCGGACGTGTTCCTGGACGGCAATCAGTTGTGAATTGGGTGAATGCATTCAGGACAGCAGGGAATGTGTCATCTGTACGAAGAGGACCTGCGAGGAGTGTTACAACACCACAAAATATCGAACGAGTTAGAGCAGCAGTATTGCAATCTCCGAAACGCTCTGCTCGGAAGCAAGCACTTGCTCTTGGCATTTCAAGGCGTTCTCTCCACCGGATTCTCCATAGTGAACTGCATTTCCACCCATATAAAATGTGTGTGGTCCAACAATTGTCAGCACGGGATTATTTGACACGACGAACATCTTGTGAAGACATGCTTGCAACCATACCTCGTGACGCAATTGTGTTCTTTTCTGATGAGGCACATTTTCATCTCAGTGGGTGTGTAAACAAGCAAAACATGCGGTACTGGAGTGACACAAACCCCAGAGAAGTTCATCAGAGACCTCTGCATTCGGACCGCGTCACTGTGTGGTGCGCCTTATCACGAGTAGGCATCATTGGCCCTTACTTTTTTCCGGCAACTGTGAATGCTGAACGTTACCTAACTATGCTCATGCTGCAGGATTTTTTCCATCCAGCACTTGAGGCAATGCAATTAGAGGATACATGGTTTCAACAAGATGGTGCCACTGCACATACAGCGAGAGTTACCATTGATCTTTTGAGGCAAATGTTTCCTGAACGGCTCATCTCTCGCAATGGTGATCTGAACTGGCCGGCACGCTCACCAGACTTAGCTCCATGCGATTTTTTCCTTTGGGGTTACCTGAAGTCCAAGGTGTATTGCAACCGTCCCAAAACCCTGGAAGACCTAAGGAACAATATTGCTGCTGAGATTGCCAGAATACCAGTCGACATGCTTGAAAAAGTGCATGAGAACTTCAGAAAACGTATGCAGCAGTGTGTGGATCGGGAAGGTCAACATTTGCCAGATATAATATTTAAAACAAAATAATTTGTAAATTCCATTACTGTTCAATGTAAGTGAAATATAAAATTAAGTTTCTACATGTTCATAATTTTTTTATTCCACTCCCAAATAAGCAAATTACCGCGCTCCACCCTGTAGAAACACTGTAGCAGTGCTTCCATTAGAAAATGGCTGGATCTTTGACGGCCTGTGCGGCAGAGCAGGGGTAGTTTTTGACACTTCTGATATTTTT